CTTTTTTTCCTGGGGCCTTCACCAAAACGGAGTTGGCTTGGCAACCGCAGTCATCCAAGGTCACCTACAAGGGTGCACTCTTTTTCAGGGGACCCCCCAGCAAAGTGTAGCTTTCAGAGGGCAAAGCTCCCCCCCTTTCTCGGGATCATGTTTGATTCGAGTATGCAAAGTACCGTGCCGCGCGCGGTGTCGAAGCCGCTACAAAGTGCCCAAGAGTTGATTGCAACTAGGTCCCCCAGTAGTGCCCTTTTACCGATTCTTTCTTGGGAAAGGGTTCCCCTTCTAAAATAGACTTATACAGAAGAAAAGTTGGTTCCCTTATTCTAACCTCTCTACTGGAGGACCTAGGCAAAGGCTGGGCTGCAGGTGCTGTGAGACCTCATAGCGCAAGCCGGCTCGGGTGTTAAGCCCGAGCTAGTGGTCGGCACCAAGGACGTGCAGAAACGCTCAGCTTGGAGTGGGGAGCAAAGGGCAGCATGGGCCGGCAGGCCGCAGACAGCGGACCCGCAGAGTGCTCCTTATCTGAGAGAAGGTAGCCACATGCCGATCCACGTCCCTATGGTGCGGTGCGGCATTTGTCGCACGGGTTGATTCAAAGACGGGAGGAATGTCCGGATGTCTTCCAGTGGATTCTTGTAAATAGCCAGCAAACCAGCATGTTTTCCCCATCGCCACTGGCAGGTAAAAGTGGGTTGCGAAATTGGCAAGAAGCCTTGGCCAGGTACTGGGCCAAAAAACATGGTTGTGCGCGTCAGGCTCACAGGCTGAAGGAAAGCCTTTTGGTGGACTTGACATCACTCTGGGTTGTGGACGGACCTGTCGTCTTGGCTGGTTTCTGGCTTTGGCCCAGGCAAGGTTTGGCGGGCATGCCGCATTTGTGGCATACGTCCGCATGTCTTCAGGCAAAGCTTGAAACAGCCCGCATCCTTGACTAGGTCCCCCAGTAGTGCCCTTTTACCGATTCTTTCTTGGGAGAGGGTTCCCCTTCTAAAATAGACTACAGAAAAGTTGGTATCCTTATTCTAACCTCTCTACTGGAGGACCTAGTAGACACAAATTCTCGAATCAAGCCTCTCTTTTTGCTCCGCGCCTGAGGTTTGCAAGCCTTGCAAGAATGGCTCACTGTGCTTCTTCCCCGCGAGGCTTGGACCAACTCAACGTGCCGTCCGAAAGGGTCGAAGCTTGGCGGCTCCCTTTCGCGCATGTTTCCAACGCATGACATGAAGAGCTGAGTTTGGGTCAGTGGTGAATCAACGGTTTTTGGCGCTGAATGTATCATGTGCCATGCAAGTGTGCAGCCAGTCTTTCCAATTTTGGAGCACATCCGAAAAGCTGATAGCTTCACCAACAGAGATGAAGTTAGAACAGCTTGGAGTGTGCAAAGAAGCCGGCTACGGATCGCATTCTTCACATCACGATACTGTGTCGATCACTTCGCCCACGTAACGTAGTCCAAGCATTCGAGGCATTGCGCACACAAGGCCGAAAAATAAGACAAGCTCAGGTCCCTTGATGCAGGTTTCCGACTTGGGATTTCTTATTTTGTTTGAACGGAGGACCGTGATACATGGTCCTCGAATGGTCCTTTTCGGGGAGCACTTCTTTTCGGGAAATACTGAACTAAAGGCGGAACAAGTTTAACTTTTGAGAGGCTGGTTGGCTCAATCGCTCGATTCTTTGAGCTGGCAGGTTGCTTCGGAGTGTCCACCAAGGCCCATGTGACAGCCATTCTCCACCCAAAAGGTTGGGTGAATGGAAACCAGAAGCCCATCTTTTTCTATGGTCGCTGAGAATTTGAGAAACGAGCATGCTTTAAGTAGGGTACACTTTTTGCAGAACTCGTGCAAAGCTGCCAACGAACATCTTTGCCGCGCCTTACATTGCCTGCGGTCGCTTGGTTTTCGCAATTGCGGCCTGCCAGGCTTGCGACTTGGGAATAATACAGTTCTCGAGGAGGCAGCCGCACCACATCAAAAAACAAAGCTCTGGTAGAGCGGCAAAGCATTACGTAAGCTATTAATAATCCGTTCCCCCCAATGCTAAACGTCCCCCCGCATTAGGGGACTATAAAGCTTGCCTTGCTCCCCCCAATTCAATATTGTATCCATCGTATATATCTGCCGTTTTAGAGCTCGCAGGGCCAGCGGTGAAGAGGACATGGTGCTCTTCTGTTCGTGCCACCCTCGGAGAGATCCAGGTGGCTGGATGGGTTGACCCTTGAGTTAGCGCCTTTTCATAGGGGACATATTCCAACGTTCTATGCCTTTGTGCGTTGCTTAAAATTTACTTGTGGGAGTTTGAGTGAGTTTTCTGTGATGTTCTAAGGGGCAAACAATGTGAACCCTTCTTGCTGGGGGGGGGGGTGCTGGTGTGAGTGTCAGAAGAAGAGCACATGTTTTAATCGAAGTGGTGCAAAGCTTTCTTTTCGAAGTTCTCGGACTTGATATTTTTTGGAAAACAACAAAGTTCGAACCGTTCTCGGCACTCAGGAAGTGAGCAGGCTTGCGGTTCCAGCTTTGCGACGGCTGGCGGTTCTCCGCGTTGTTTCCCGGAATGGTTTGTTTCCATTTCCCCTCAAAACTTTGCATTTTGCCACGGGTTGTTGGGACTTTAACTTTTTGCTAACCAATGGGTTTTCCATTGAACCAGTAAAAGTTGAACTTTAGCAGGGGAGCAGAAAGCAACCGCGAAAAGCAAGCAACACCGGCCACCCAACTACTGCTTTCTCGACCATCTCCAAAATGCCCCCCCCCGGCTTGCGTCCTCTCTGGGGATGGCTTGGAGGATTTGTTTCCAACCTCTTGCTCATTGGCTATATCCAATTCCCTTGACGGCTGGCATTTCTCAGGTTTCGGCTTGCCGCTCTGCCGCAACACAGCAGCGGTTGCAAGGGACCTGGCTTCAGCAAACTGCCTTCAATGAAGCCTCGGTTTGGATGCCTCCGCCTCGAATTGAGGTGCGCACACGCTGCCAAAGGCGAGGTTTGGGGGATGGTTGACGTGACGGGTGGTCTCGATCTTTTCGTTTTGGGACGCGTGTTGGACCGTTTCGGGCGTTCCAGCGATCAATTTCGGAAAAGAGAACCCAAACTCACAGTTCCTGCCATATTCGGTCGTGATAAGAAATCCCTTTCACTGTCGAGAGTTCTCGCCATATTCGGCTTTGTTTCGTAGATTTGGAGGGAATCCAACGTGCTCCAACCACCGAGTGGCCAAAAACGAGTCTGAAACCAGTCTGGAATCAGTTCATGGGACATGGGGAGGGTGTTTCTTCATCTCTAGCCAGTTGTGCTTCTGCCATCCCAAATCGGAAGCTTGCACCTGGTTGGCAGTTGGCTTTTCAGGAGCCCTGAGGCTCGGGTCTGGCAACAACGACACGCGCAACGCGTGCCGCGATTTTTTTTTGTTTTGTCTTGTTTTGTTTGATCCACTTTGCGGGTTAGCTGAGCAAAACCCTGGTCTCGAAATTCCACAACAATGGCTTGGGGTGTAGAGTTGAAACCATTGAGTTCGGCTCCTCAGCCTATGAAATGCAGTTTTTGTCCAGAATACTAGACGACCTGCAAAAGGAGTGCAGGCAACCCAATTGTCCAGTGGGTCCTGTTGACAGTTTGCTTTCCTCTTGGAGCCCAACTGCAAGTAAGAAAGCGGAACCACGTTTCGAGCAGCTTGCTGCCCCGATTTCAGGGTTTCACCTTTAGACTCCTGGCTCCCTCAGGACATGGCTGGCTCGTTTTTTTTTTGAGGCTGCCATTGTTTTGCTGGTTAGGGAAACTAAATGGAAGACTGACGTCATTTTGAGGGGGTTCCCAAAAAAGAGACACACCCACAGGAACATCTGGGTTTCACATCTCTCACGCTGCTTTCCGCCTTTGCCAGGTCGCTGGCGGAAAGCCCGGAGTGCTGGGACTCAGGCACCGACAGTTGTCCTGTTTGGTGTCCTGTTTGGTTGGTTTGCTTAAAAATGGAGTTGGCCCTGGTTTAGATGGGGTTTATGCCCCATTTACCAGGGAAACCCATCTATGTTTTCCCCAAAAACCACCTATGCGGTTGTCCGTGTAGGATGGCACAACCGAATTTTTGTTTGCTGTTTTCTAGCGCGTCGCTGACACCCAGAAAGAAGAAGCTGGAGAACATGTATTGTTTCAGCGACGGGGGAGAAAACGAGCTCGGGGCCCATGAAGGCTCCTTGCCGGGCGGGAATCCTTCATTTAGGTTGGCGGGAGCGGGGGGTAATTCCTGCTGATTCTGATGAATGGCCTCAACAGGCAACTTCGCCTGCTCAACGGGACTTGTCCGATCTGGGGCCCCTGGATGCAACCAGCAGAAAGACCATCCGAATGATTCGGGCCCCGAATCCGAGGAGACACAGACACAGACACACAGACACACACAGAGACACACACACACACACAGAGACACATGCGCCTGCACAACAAAACACTTTCCCGCACACAAGGACAGTTACGGCACGCACACAGCGCAACAGTAGTCAGTCGACTTCTAACGGGCAATCCAAGCCAGTAACACGCTAGATACTCACACACCAGCCCAAAACATAGATGCAACAATCAATTTAACACGTTTAAACTTGTCGAGGCAACTCAACCAGGAACCGGTATGAACTACCGTGTTCCTTTTCGGAGAGCCACTTTCAGGCTCCATGTTAAAAGGATATCAGGGCTTGAGTCCAGAGTCGCTTTACTGGCTCACAGGCGGATCGATTTCAGCGGATCCTGGAGTACCCAGTCGCTTGTCATGAGCACATGAACACAGGACAACGTTTTGCACACAAACCCACACTATGCGTTTTGGCCATCAGACTCGCTCGCTAGATCGAGGCAAGAGCCCCACTTTGCCTGAGGCTATCTTATTAGTGTCTACTGATTTGACTGGGAGATGGTCGTGGTTGAACACTTTTCTGTTAGTGGCAAGTTGAGTAAATGAGTGATCCTATTCTGTCAAAGCACTTAGCTGCGGCCTTTGGTACGATTTGGAGCAATGGACCCCAGCTATTTCCGGAACGATGTTTTGAGAGGCGCGCAGGGTGAGCTTGGGCGCGAGGGGCGAGGTGGCTGCTTGGATTTGTTGATGTGTACCCTGGATTTGGCTGTGTGGCTTGATGTTTCGCTAGATGAACCAGTGTTTTCATTGTCTCACTTCCAAGGCTCTCAAATCTGGCAGAGCGAGAGAGAGAGAGAGAGAAATGTCATTAGAGCACAGAGCAGTAGCATGCTCAGACTTGTTTCGCTTGATCACTTTGCATGGCCGATCTTTGGTGAATCTGGACAATTACAAGCTAGTTCAATAATTGCCCGTTGAAACTGCAAAAGGTGATCATTTTGTTGCTCGTTCTTGGGGGGAACACCCGATTGAGGCAGGCATAGGCACAATTGAGACCTGGATCACGCTCATGGGCGCACAGTAGGTCCAACACTTACCAGTAGTACTACTTCCGACTACCACTGATCACCGCGCTACCACTGCCACCACCACCACTGCTACCACCACGACTACTACCACTACTACCACTACTACCACTACTACTACTACTACTACTACTACCACTACTACCACTACTACCACTACTACTACTACTACTACTACCACTACTACCACTACTACCACTACCACTACTACTGCTACTACTACTACTACTACTACCACTACTACCACTACTACCACTACTACTACTACTACTACCACTACTACCACTACTACCACTACTACTACTACTACTACTACACTACTACCACTACTACCACTACTACTACTACTACCACTACTACCACTACTACCACTACTACTACTACTACCACTACTACCACTACTACCACTACTACTACTACTACTGCTACTACTACTACTACTACTACCACTACTACCACTACTACCACTACTACTACTACTACCACTACTACCACTACTACCACTACTACTACTACCACTACTACCACTACTACCACTACTACTACTACTACTACTACCACTACTACCACTACTACCACTACTACTACTACTACTACTACTACCACTACTACCACTACTACCACTACTACTATTACTACTACCACTACTACCACTACTACCACTACCACTACTACTACTGCTACTACTACTGCTTCTTCTGCTGCTGTTGCTCCTGCTGCTACTGCCATTACCTTGGCGAGTTGCAAGCCGCACTGCGCGCCTCTGCTTCACGCCTTTGCGGTGAGCTGTTGCAGCTTTAGAGCCGGCTCCGGCAGACAAGCGCTGCTATGCCCCGTGCCAGGGCGGGGAATGTGGGATGGGGGACTCAAATAGGAAATGAAGAAGTACAGGCGATGCAGATTATATAATTGTACCGAGCCTAAGTTGCAGATCTTCGCAAGTTGTGTTGCCTGCATGCTTTCTCTCAGACCATGCTGTTTCGTGGTGATTGTTGCTTTTGCGCCTGGTATGAGCGTCGCAGGTTTTGCGCAAATGCCACGAGAACTTGTCAGCTCAAAAGCTTTGCAACACACGCCGTGCAGAGAGCGTTGGTGATGCTAGTAGCAACATTGGAGCACCCCCGCTGCTGCTGCTGCTGCTGCTGTTGTTGCTGCTGCTGCTGCTGTTGTTGTTGGCGGTGGCGGTGGCGGTGGCGGTGGTGGCCTGTTGCGGTTGTTGTGGATGTTGCTGTGGAGGTGACAGGAGACGGTGTATTGCTTGCCGGTGCTGGTGCTGGTCCTGTGGTTGTTGCTGCTCCACACTATGGCTGTGGGTCAAACCCTTGCACATGGAAACATGGACATTCAAACATTTTGACCCATACCCATAGGGTTTTACCGCATTGGTGTCCTCAGCGCACGGCTTCAGGCCGAGTGGCCCTGATCACTGGGGGCGGCAGCGGGATCGGCTTTGAGGTGGCCAAGCAGTTCGGCTTCCACGGCTGCAAAGGCGAAGCTGGGACTCAGGGTATCGTCATGTTAGCGACGCAGTGTGAGGAAAACATACATGGCTGTGTCTCAAATGAATGTACCACCTTAGCACCTTGGTGAATGGAACCAAAGACTAAAACCTGCGTAGCCCTAGCTCTTGAATTTGAGCCCCACCCAGATGTGACTTATGTGAAATATGTGCATTCTTTCCCTGACCCCACTCCATGGACATGCAGGCGCTCCCGCAAAGGACTGCGATGCAAGACTCGGCTTGGCTCCCGTCGGGCATTGGTGGGGACTGAACAGCTAAAGGGCGAGTTGTCAGGATGTGGCATAGCGCATGCAGCTGCATACACGTTGCCAAGCTACTCTGGCAACTGGTGATGTGTTTGTTTGCTGGCGGCAACGTCATTTGGGTTTGGTGTTGCAAGACACTAGGCAACGAATGGATATGTGCGGGCCAAATGGCGAGCACAGGCCTATCAGTAGAATTTGCAGCATTCCGCCGGTTTCGGTTTCGCAGGTGTGGTCATCATGGGCCGCCGGCAGCAGTTTTTGGAAGAGGCGGTTGGGCTGTTGTCCAAGGAAGGCGTGAACGCAGCGTCTCTCGATCCGGGAAACTTTTGAGCTGGGTGGGGAGGTTTGAGGCGGGTCGTCAGGTAGTTCACAGGGGGACGGTTTTCCGAAAATTGCTTGCCTCGAGCCACTAGTCTCCCCAGGACCAAGGCCGGATGACACCTTGGGGATTACCTGGAAGGAAACTGGGTTCTGCCCGCGCAACGGCGAGATCTCTAGCGAAATGTTGGGGTTTCGCGGAGATCCCAACCTTTGAGGATCCAGGCAAGTTGTGCCAGGGCGCACAGCTTCTGACAAAAGGGGCTGATGTACGGTATTGACTCATGGTCCTTCGGGTCGTTTGGGGGTAGATGCTCTTGGAGTGAAGGATGTCGACCCAGATGCTTGTTTTTATTGGTGCAATTAGCAGGAGACAAGACCTCTGATGGAGCGGTGCTCCTTGACACGACGTAGCCGACCTGCACACCCGCAATGCATCCGAGACGGTAAGAGCATTGATTGCTATGCTCATTCTTAGTTCGATGTGGGGTCATCCGAAGTTGGCATTTACAAATTGTTTTGGGGTTGGTCGAAAGGGAAAGAGGGAATCCAGCGACCCTTTTCAGGATCCATTTAGAGACAAGCCCATCCATATCTTCAGTCTCCCCCCTTGCCTGAAGGTTTGTGCGGAATGAGCTCGCATTTCTGTTGCATTCGTTTCTGCTTGGCTCCACCTTTCACCTTCAGCTTTCTGGTTGAACATGACGGTCCCAGCCAACACATTTGCTATCTTGGGTCAACGCCAACCCAGGTGTTTGTTTGGCGAAGTCGTCCGGCAGCTTAGGTTTGTCACCGGGGATGTGCGCAAATTTGAAGACTGCACAGCCGCTGTTCAAATGGCAGTGAAGAAGTTTGGAGCGCTGGACATTCTGGTGAATGCAGCCGCAGGCCTGTCGGCGGATCCCGACCTCATACACAACTTTAACTTTGGTGCATTTTGCTTGGATGTTAGGACTTTAACTTTTTGCCAACTAATGGGTTTTCCGTATTAAACCACTAAAAGTTAGTCACTTTTAGCAGGGGAGCAGAAAGCAACCGAGTTAACTCCTGCAATCGCCCAATGGTTGGGGCAAGAAGAAGCAAACGCAGCAGTCCCTGACCAAGTTCGATTGCTTTTGTGACACCCCTTCGTGCCCGTCTTGAAGAGCCGAGCTACAGGGATGGCAGGTTTTTCCAAGTGGGGCCTGGATGTGGTCGGTTTATGCAAATACATTCTTATATTCCCCTGCTGTATCGGGGCTTCCCCAAACAATATGCTTCCAGCCCTCCTCGTATATCTTTGTTAGTTTGTTTCCCCACATGTTGCAAGTGGCAAGATCTTTGGCGCGAGTCAAGGAGCCTCTGACCTCTTGCTCGACCTTTGCATTCCCCGCACAAAGTTGGCAGAAGGAGAATTCCAGAAAAGGTTTCGCCCTAGGAGGAGACTCCTCTTGTATGTGGGTGCTTTTGGAGTTGTGTGGACAGCTTGTTGAGAAAGTTCACTTGGACCATCCAAGTTTAAGCGGTTTTTGGATTTGGAGATGACAGGAGCCATCTACCCACGTTGAATGACCTTGGCTCATGCACTGCGTGCAGTCCTGGACACCTCTGGAGTTGCATGTGTTACTTTTAGAAGAGTGCTATCAGCAGCATCTTAAGGTAGTCATGTACATGTGAACCCTTTTGGCAGGAGACACAGGACTATGCAGCAACAGGTGACAGTGCACTTGAGTTACATGAGTCAGTTTACAAAACAATCAACAGGTCCAAGGCCAAGTCAAAAAACTGTGAAGAAGAAAAGAACGAGACGCGAAGAGCATTACCTGATCTGCAAAAGCGATGAGTAGACTGTACATCAGTCTTCATGTCAACTTGGTGGGAGCATAAATCCCGAGGGTCAAGAACACCAGAAGCAATGTCACCAGTGGTGCAACATGTCGCCGGAAATGCTGGTCGAGCGTGCCTTTGGATCTACCGCATAGTCAGTCCTCCAAAGGTTGCCCAGTCAGCGCCCCGTGTTTCGAGCTGTCAACTCAAGACTCGACCCCGAAGAGCAAAGACAGACAGCTGCCAACACGTAGAAGTAGCATGTCGGAGGGTTGTTCAAAAGGCGAGGCAGCTGATCCCTGGAGTGGCTTCTGGCATTCACAGAACCCTGATCACACAGTGGTCGCCTAACAATATCGGACACATAGGCAGCTAGTCATATTAAAGGATGAGATGATGATGATGTTGATGATGATGATGACGATGATGACGATGATGATGATGATGACGATGACGATGACGATGACGATGACGATGACGATGACGATGACGATGACGATGATGATGATGATGATGATGATGATGATGATGATGATGATGATGATGATGATGATGATGATGATGATGATGATGATGATGATGATGATGATATGATGATATGATGATGATGATTTTGTCAGCGCGCTGACGTTCGTTTGGGATTCCTGTCGGAGGGATATTGATGCAAAGGGCTGTGTATCACCCACCGTTTGCTACTGGAGAAAAGCCGTGAATTAGGGACGAGGAGGCAAGCTAGTTGCGGGCACCATGAATTTTTACGTAGACTCAGGTGAACTGAGAATGTGCGCTGTTCTCGGTTATAATCAAGAAGTTCGGGCTGCTAGTTATTGACTGGTTGTTGAAATGTTTATCTACCCAGTTGTTGTGCTTTGGTGTTGTGCCAACAACTGCCCTGCTGGCTTCTTAGCATGACGTGCTAAGTTGGCTGTCACGCATTTCCTCGGATGGCGACTTTGTAACCACCGCTTCGTTTGGGTTGCCTTTAGCCTCAACACCCGGACGAAGGCTAGGAAAACTTCCGTCCCAATCAGAAGCAGGTGCGTTGGGAATACTCCTTTCTGTTTTCTCGAAGGCTTTGCTTATGTATGACTCACATGTTCGCCATAGCCTATAGGATCTCCATTGATTGTGTTCAACTCCGAGCTTTCTGGGTGCCAAGTCTTTTGAGGGTACCCTGTCTTAGCGGTAAAGGGGGGAAATCCAAACGGACCGCCCAACCGTTCAGGCGTGGCCCAGTGAAAAACTGCGGGGAGCCGCGTGAATTTTGTTTTCCTTCTGGTTTCACAGGCCGAGCGGCTAAATTTGCGTTTTGCTGGATACGTAGGGCCTGGGAAAAAAAAAGGCAAAAATTGGCCGGCCCGAAACCCCAAAACCCTAAACCCTAAACCCTAAACCGGCCCCTTTCGTGGATTCTTTCAAAAGGGCGGCGCGGGTCACATGACCCGTGGCGCCTCTCGCTCGCCTCGCTCGTGCAGGGAACTTCTTGGCGGCGGCGGAGCAGATCTCCTCCAACGGCTTCCGCACCGCTCGGTGGCCCGGGGACTGGGAGCTGAGCGAACGGCAGGCCTCGAAGGAAGGGCTTCTCCTCTACCAAGTCACTCCCAAGACTATGAGTGGTTTTTGAGGGGACCAGCTCCAAATCATGGTTTTTTCTATGAATTTTGGGAATCAAAGCCCGACTAAGAAGTTGAAGCGGGAACCAGCTCCAGGTCCAAGCCCTATGAATTTTGGGAGGGAACCAGCCGCAAATCAAAGCCCAGCTATAAATGAGGGTTTCTTGTGATCGGTGAGAGAGATGCAGGGAATGAGAAATGGAGTGATCAGGGAATGAGAAATGGAATGACCCCTATAAATTTCTTGCATCTCCGATTTGGTGGCCCTAAAGGGAACCCCGCAACAGTTCATTCCCAACACCCGGAAAGCGCATTCCCGTTCTGTTAGAACGCATTTTGAGGGAATCCGGCGCTTTGAATCATTCTTGGGGATTTGTTGAATGAGCTCGCATGGTTGTCAATAGACCTCCTGGTCTTCTTTCAAGGATACCCTTTTTCGATCCATGGCAGGACAGCTTTGATAGTCTACTATGTTATGAAGGCCTGTGTACTTCAACGCTTGTGGGAAAGAGGGTAGTGACTATTACTCACCAATCACGATCATGAAGTTTAGGCGCCCTTCATCTTGGGGCCGAAAGCTCATTTTGTGCATGTCCATATGTGTTTCCTGTAAGCTGGTGTATGTTTTTTTTTCCATTCATCGCCGTTAAAAATCCGCTGCTGAGATACTCCCGTTTCATTCAAAACAAGCTCCAGCCACTGGCAAAGTGGGAAGACCACGCCTAAAAACGAGTCGGGGAAACCAGGTGGCCGGCCCCACGCTACCAGCCAGCACGCTACCAGTCCCAAGAAGTGTCCAACAAGACCCGAGCGCAACAGCTATTGCAACTCGTGCAAGACACGAGCCGGACAAGAGAACGGTTCTAGGTTCCAGGACTATGACTGGCTGCCTTCTCCTGGACAAATGGCTGGGCATCGCTTGTTTGTCTTTTTTTCGCCATGCCGAAGAGCGTTTTCTGGGCACCGATCCGAGAAGCGGCATTGCTTGGACGCATTGTCGGGCCAGTTGTTTGGGGTCTGACACGCTTTTGAACCATGTTGTAATCAGATGCTTGGAGATGAGCGGGCGCCTCTTTCACTAAATGTCGGCCCAAGTTCAGTTTTGGCTTTAAGGATCAAGCAAATATGCATATTCCGCAGACATACGTAACTTCCATGCCGTTCTTTCGCCCAAGCATGTGGCTTGTGCGCCTTGAGGTCATGGACATCGATGCGGTGGGCACCTTTAACACCACTCGTGCTGCCTTTGACGCCCTGAAGACTTCCCAGTTCGGAGGGGTTGTGTGCCTGGGACCAAGCAAGAAGTTTGGGGCGATACCGCGGAACTCTCTTCTTGCGCTGGGACCAAGTGCCCTAACACGACTTCATGGTAGATGCCTACGTCTACGAAACATAGGTCCAGAAGTGTCAATTGCAGGTAGGGGCAAAGGCTGACGTCGTGTTGGGTGTTCGATGCATGGTAGGTAATAGGTGCTATGAGTGGGCTAATGAGTTACTTCCCGTAGTTGTAAGTGGGAGAAAGCAGCTTCATTCCCTTACAGCAATGATTGAGCTTAACCTGCTGGGCAACATCGGCTGAATTATTGGTTGTATCATAGGCTGGTTGGTCCCCTATCAGAGTGACATCATCTAAAATCGGTCCACACCCAAACGTGACACCCTCAGAGACCCGCAACAGCTCTGCTTGGGGATGGAGTGATCCCAGGTTTCGTTGTCAGAGAAAGAATGGAATAAGATGATGAACAGACTCCTCAAAAATATAGGAAGCATCTAAATACTAGTACAACATGATGAAGTGAGCCAATTAGAGCTTAGTTTGTCACGGCTGTTACTCCCTTTGAATTATGTATATGTGTATATGTTGTTGTTCATCATGGCATAGAAAACTTCAGATGAGGATAAAGAAGCTTTTGAGCATATATCTAAATGATTTTCTTAAGACAAGCATAGGTGCCATTGTTTCCTAAGGGTTAACTAACTATCTATGTATGTGAAACGCAACATATTAAGCCTCAACTAAATACAATAGAATGAACAATACACTCCTTTTACTTTCGTCGCATCTCCTCACAACAATGGCTTCGAAGAGATGCAAATGATGGAAGAAGAACGGACAGTAGGCTATCTCTTTGTCGGCTCTCTTCATTCGCCATCACATGTAAACTGTATGATCTAGACATTTGCAGTGTCAAAACTTGGATTCCTGGCAAATGACAATGTCCATGTCGCTCTTGAAACTAAGTTTTGGGAGTGACTTTGAGATTGATAACATGATGAGCTGGATGGTTTTGACATTAAGCACAATTCAGTCACCCTGCTATACCAAGTTGTCGAGGACAAAATGTTTCGGACGCCGGTCCCTCACTTTGAGAAAGACCCATTCGGCCGTTGAATTGTTGGTCGCCTGATGTCACCGCTTTTTCCTCGCAAAGGCCACACACGGTGCAGCCAGTGTTGCCTATTTCGGCAATGTGTCTTTGTTCTGACGGATGGAAATGACTGCCGAGCTGCTTGGGAATTTCAGCTGGTGGAAGTGAGAGGGCTAATCACTGACAGTCCTCCCATGGAGCCAAGGCTATCTCGGATATAAGATGCTTTTTTACTCTCTATTCCTCCCCTCCCCTGGGGCCGCCAAAGCAAACCATGCGAGAGCCTCCTTTTGGGGGACGTTTGTTTGGCCGTTCCTTCGGCTTATTTCCAAGGAAGTACTGTATGTCACGGCTCCGCATATGCCTCACGCACCATCCCCTGAAAATGACAAGTTTCCAACTTGGCCCATCACAAGAAGGGAATGGGGCTATCCCCGAAAATGATGACTCCATCTGGGCACAAAATCGCAGGAGGGAAATATGGGGCATTTGCCCCCTGCTTTTCCCGGCGGGGGATGGGGGCAAACATGCAGATCATTGGCCCAGGACGAACATCACTGCCACCCTGCACTACACTGCCACATGGTATCAGACAGCACCTGTAGCTGCCAAGGCGCGGGTCGCGGCAATGGCAGCTATAGGTCCAGTTGCTTAGGGCTGATGTTCCTGGGTTGATCGTCTTTTTTAAAATCTTTGCCTTTTGAACTCATTTGTGTTTGAAAGGCAAGGCGGAGATTTGAGATATCAGAAGCTTGATGGGGAAATATGGGGTGCACTGTCCGTGTCTAACTGGAAATTACTTCAATTGAAATGCGCAAAATGTCATAGGGATGAGCATGGCACTTTAATATCATAGAACGGGTCATAGGTCATAGCAAAGGACCTGCAATCTGTCTTCGGAACGATGCTGTGGCCCGGGTGGGTGCTGTGGGCATAACACTTCAACCGATCAGAAAACGAGACATTTATTTTGGAGCACAACTCCTTTAAGAGCTTATGCTTCCCAAAACTAGTATGACCTTAGTCACCATCAAAACCTGATGACAGTTGCGTGTTGGGTAGGATCCTTTGACGCCAGATTTCGACTATGACTCTTGTCAGGGTCTGTATCCCACGCAGGCGGCGATCGATGCGATGACTCGATCCTCGGCAGCGATGCACCCATTGCAAGTACAACCGGCCATGAGTTGAATGCGCTGGTCTGTGTGTACGTGTGACTATTCGGGAGACTAATTCCAGGATTTGTGTAGGCTCACTAAGCCTAAAGTCAAGGACCCGACTAAAGTGTCATCTACCGCCCGCCTTCAGCTGCTTTCGACGCATTGAGCAACACTCTGCCCAACGTTTGTGAGGTGTGCGCCATTTTGTTCAAGCCAACTTCAAGGACGTTCAGCAACAATTTTGAGCTTCAGCCACCCCCCAGCTGCTTTTTTAAATGTCCGAATTCCTCCCCCCTCCCCCGCCCGTACTGTCCAAAACTCGGCTGCGACCCGGATGGCGTCTTTGTTCTTCGGCGAATCTTCGCCTTCAGAGCCCCCCGAAACGTCCGGTCCCCCCAGTCCTCCCTTTCTCGCCCGGTCCGCCTGTCAATCCTGTCACGCGTGAGGTCGAAAGGACACTCGCGTCCGTCCGCACGCGTTGAGGAAACTTGGCGCTGGAGTGGGGGGACTTCGGCATCCGCTGCAACGGAGTGGCCCCTGGGCCCATTGCCGAGACCCCCGGCCTCGAGAAGCTGAGCGCCTCGGATCGAAGGGCTCAATTTGGGTCTGGCCGGTGGCAACCCGGGGCGGGGCGGTTTTTTGGGACCACTTCTTTTGGGGTTTGAAGGGAAACCAGAGGACGGGAAACCACGGTTGAATCCAGTGTTGGTTGGTATTTACCGAGGAATTAGCATACCTGGGGTTTCTCAAGAGGTACGAAATGGATTTTGTTCATCCACAGTATGGCTGCGCCTTTTTCAACGGTGCCCCCCCTGTCTTGGTTTTTCAAGGAAAACAACGGAAGAAAAAATAATGTGTTTTGTTTTGGGGGGCCAAAAAGGTTAGTGTAGTCTTCAGGGACATGATACCTTGCCTTTTTGCCAAGGGGGTCAACTGGCAATACGGAAGGATTTCTTTGTACCTGAGGGTGGCCCAACTGCCCAGCCAGCGCAGGTGTCCCGTTTGACCCACGTAGTAAAGCAGAGGGACCCCCCTTGAAAGCGGAGTCCAACTCTTGTGGAGCTTGTCCCTTTGTTTCCCCAGATGCAAGTCAAATTGCAAGAATCTTCCAAACGTCTCATGCTCAAAAATGGGGTGAATAAACCCTGCTGATGTTGACCCCTGAGTACAGGACGCGTATGTTGGGCTATTTCTGATGTGACATATGCTTTTGAACCACTCGGGGCTGACCTTTGGCAAAGTCACAGGGCCACAATTCAGAATGCTTCCTGGCCGATGAGTTTGACCTGTGCCTTGTGGGCCCTTTCTATGGGGGTGCCCTTTTTTCTTCGTCCAGCGCAGAGACCAAAATTTAAAAGGAAGCCAGTTTGTAGGGTCCAATTTCTTCTATGCTTCCCGCTGGCATGAGTTCTTTGTGCAAATTGGCCATAGAAGAAATGGCCCTGAACGCATTCAGATTCGGATTCCACGACCCAGAGAGGCCAGACATCTACACGGCTAGCGCTGGACGTTTCTTCACTGGCTCACTGGTCAGACCGTCAGACCAGAGCTGAGTCTTGCATCTGAGGCGGCGGCAATGCGGACAAGATCGACTGGAGCCATATTCCGGCCAGGCCCAGCAACTTGCAAACCAGGCAGCTGCTAGGGCCCAGTTTCCAAAGGTGGTATCTATAATATGTAATCAAGCCAAAGTTGGTAAGTTTCAAGCATGGATGATGTTTACAATAGTTTAGCGTGACTGAGGATATACTTTGACCCCGCTTGTGCGCTTGTTTTGATCACATCATAAGGTACCAAAACTTTGGTGCATTTTGCTTGGCTGTTAGGACTTTAACTTTTTGCCAACTAATGGGTTTTCCACTAAACCACTAAAAGTTAGTCACTTTTAGCAGGGGAGCAGAAAGCAACCGAGTTTTGATCACATCATAAGGCACCAAAAGAAAACGTCCTGGAGAGGTGTGAAGCTTGCCATGAGCCCGCAGGCGCCCTGGCCTGAAAGCAGAGATCGCGTCCGCCTGCATCTACCTCTGCCTGAATCGCAGCGCTGCCCGCATTTGTGCGCACCAAAACAAAGGTAGCTACGTGAAGCAGGTGCAACCGTCTTCCCCTTCAAACTGGTCAGGGTATGAAAAATGTAGCGGCTGGTATATGTTTGGCGCAGTTGTTTCCTTGAGTGGAGAGGGTCTGGCGGTTTTTGGTCCAATTTGAGCTTTGGAGCCTTTGGCCCAAATGCATACTTAGCATCCGGAGGCAACACTCGAGTGCCGATCGATCGGTCGGCAAGTGCCATGTGGCCTGTCCCGAAGTAGCCTTTTGAGCCTGTTTGAAGATGACAAACGTCGCCCCCATTCACCTGTATGTTCTTGGTGGCTCCCAGCCATCCCCTTAGCCTGTTAGCCTTTCAGTGTTTAGTGGTATTTTTTATTTTACCCAGTAAAAGTTAAACTTTTAGCGGGGGATTTGAGGGCAGCCCAGTTTTGTTTGGGGGTCAAAGACCAGCCCAGAGCCCAGCTATGTTGATGTGGTCACATCCGGAATTGTGTTTGCGCGGACTCTTATTGTTGTATAGGCTCCTTCCCCAGCTGTTCAGTGGCAACATGCTCCCCCAGTTTCTTTGCACGTCTCACTCACCGTGGCACTTACTCAAAGTAGTCCACCTTTTGACCTTTTGAAAAGTTCTAGGCTTCAAATGATGAAGGGTGTTGGAAGTTGTGACGCTGTCCTTCCTTGAATCAGAGAAGGAAGCAGACAAGGCTGAAATCACATTTCTGAGAAGTTCTATGCAGGTGAGCTGATACGGCGCTGAGGCTACATCACTGGGCAAGTGCTTCCGGTGGATGGCGGGGAGTGGTTCGGCAAGAAGCCCATGATCCCAAGGGAGATGGTGCCGCGCCCTCAGCGACGAGCCGCGCTTCTCCTTTTTTTTGTTTGAGGGTGCCTTCTTTTTACAAGCTAGCTGGTGGTTGTAAGGGAGCCAAGGAGCCGGGGGTATCCAACTATTGAAATAGGGAGCTAAGGTTTTTTAGAGGGTGCCTTCTTTTTTAGGGTGCGCTTTTTGTTTTTTTTTGAAGCTAGCTGGTGGTTGGAGGGGAGCCAAGGAGCCGGGGGTGTCCAAATTTGCCTTAACATTGGGAGCTAAAGAGCTACCAAGAGTTCTGTAAGGACATGGTATATGAAGGAAAACAACAGGCGAACAAAAACCCGGGGTTCCCTTTTGGTTCGAGGAGGCTTCTTCGCCCCTCGCTTTGAGTCGTTTAGTGACAAGGGTGCTTTTCATCTAAGGTGCCTTTAGCCCGTTGCCACCCAATCTTAACCAGGGTCTTTCAATTGTAGGAATGAGCAGTAGCAGTGTGGCTCAAAATCAAACAGCTGGGGTTACACAGGGACGTTCGTCCACTTGTGCATTCATTCGAACCCCCAATTTTGAGGCACTCCCATTTGACCATGGGTGAAGGGCGCTGTTTGAGGGAGCTCTTGTCAAGTAATTGACTCTATTGACCCTTTGACAGCTTGTTGACATCTTGTTGACGTCAAGTTGACCTCTTGTCAAGATCTAGTGAATCTGTTGCAACCATACAAGCTAGCCTCATTGCCTGTCATTGCATTGCACATGTAATATATGGAGGTTGATCAATATTATTGGCCCCCTTTTCTTTGTGAATATCAGTTGCTTAGCAGTTTTTCCCAATGGCCATCCCATCTAAAGAACCTTTTCATCAACCCCTAAACGGACCTTTTGATCAACCCCATATACAGATATATATATATATACATATATATATATACACCCCATATGTGTATATATATATATATATACATATGTGCGAGGTACCTCCTTGGTACATTTGCCGCCACCCCCCCCTCGGATTTCAAGCAATTCGCAGTGCCCGTTTTAGTCTCGTTTTGACAGGCTTCATAAGGACGCCATTATAAGCCCTCGTTGCAGGGCTCCTTACAAAGCCTGCCCTAGACAAGCTCTCCTCGTGCCCCGGGCACACCAGTCCCGGGCCCGGGATGCATATATAGATACCTATTTATATTACATTTATATGTACATGTTCAATAGCTTTCCAGACTCGGCAAATGTGCTAGAAAGGTCCCTGCCACAATGCACCCTGTGCTACATTGAGAAACAGCTGCTAGACAGTCACAGCTTCGCCTCGCGTTTTTGTGTTTTTGTTTTTTCTTCGGATCCTGCGTGAAGCTTCATGCATACGTGGGTTCCCAGGCATCCGGTTCCTTATCTGTTGAGCTGTTTAGCTGTTTGAGGTTTAGTGGTTGGATTTCCATTTCCACTCAAAGTTAAACGTTTAGCGGGATCTAAGGACAGCCCGGCAGAGTTTGTGGGTGATGCACACTAGTGGAGCAGCCTCTGCTCAATGCATCCGGTGATTCCGCAAACGCGAAGGATGGTCAACGACCAGGGCCTGGCGGTCCGTTTTGTTGTTCAAGCGGCAAACTAGAGCGACCTTGCAAGGCGGCGTTGCGTTTGACCCAAAATGAAGTGACTTGTTGGCCTTGACTTTCAGCCTGCTCAATTGTCATCTGCCTAATCTATGGCACGCTCACCGATTCGGGGGTAACACAGCTCACCATGGTAAAGATATCCTCTTCGCCTTCCTTAGTTGATGTTTTGGGAAGGAATGTACGCAAAAGTCAGATCCATCCAGCTCGGCATATCTCGACAGGCTGAAGCTCTCTCGGGGCGTCGAGAAGCAGTCGAGGGACATGGGCCCCACGTCCAAGCTGTGAGCGCGTGTCGGCTAGTTGCCTTGTCCAAGGTCTGTGAGTTGTATGAACCCCCAAACTGTTTTTTTGTGTGTTCCTTTTTTTCATGTTTTGTTTTTCAACCCTTAAAATTTAGAACCGGGTTTTGGCAGCGGCTGTGCTAAAGTCCCTACATTGTGCTTCAGGTATCTTCCGTAGGAAGGGTTGACAATCCTCAATTGAATTGAAGCACCGATAAGCTAGTGGAAAGCAGGTAGCATGAGATTGCGAAGACGAGCACCAGGTAAAACTCCAAAAATACCCACAATCTACTTGCATTGCAGATGTGGGATCGAACACCATATTATGTTCGTCAGTAAAGGGTGCTTGTGAGTGGTGCATTGAGCACTGCCGAGAGCATGTCCAGGCACGGCAGCCTTCCAAGCCAAGAGAGGTTTGCTGGCAGTCAGACTTTTGATTGAAGAGGTACACTGTCTTTTGCAAGTTGTAGCAACAGACTGACAAAAGGAACTTGACTTCAATGACGCTTGTCCTGCGCACTTGGCTTGGAAGGGCAAATATCACCAAATACATTCCCCGTTGAGCACCCGGGAATAAGGGATGTGAGTTGTTACATTCAGCCAAATGAAATGGACAGACGTCATCTCAGAGCTTGGAAGGTGTGGACACGTTTGAACGGCGCGCTTGGCGCCTGGTGCCTGCCTGTCCCACCAGCGAAAAGCGTCGATGAGAGCAAAAACTGCAAGTTGGACAGTTCCCCAAAATGCGCAGATGGCGGACTCCAGCCAACGAAGCGCAGAAATAGTAAGCAAGAGCTTATTCCGGTGCAGAATTTTCTTGCCCGGTAAAGCCCGCATATCAGCTTCACCCCCTGCATGACCAGAGAGGGCCAGCATCCGTACTAGAGACTGGTGCCTTTGAAAGGGGGACGGGTCCTCACAAGGGGACCACAGCTTTGCATTCAATCCACCTGGTCTGCACCAATCACTTTTCGCTTTCGCCCGTCCACCTTCCGCTTCTGAGATGACCCGGAATTTTGCGAAGTTGTCTCGGTGGTTTCCCTTTAGAACCACACAACAAAAATGGGGTACCCCTGCTCCCACCCACATAGCATTTGTGGGAGGGTACCTGGAAGATCAATTTCCTCGGCCCTCTGGCAGGTGCCACGTTGGAGGGAGGGTTCCCTCAAAACAAGACAGACCAATGTGCCCTTCTTTGTGCAGTGCTCCTTAAAAGATACATGTTGCCCTTTTGAAACATGGCTTTTTCCACCAAAATACAGGGAAGCCACCATGTACAAGGCAATGTTCAGGTGTTGTCATGTAAGGATCCCTGTTGCAGTTCTGCGCTTTCAGGCGCGAAGACAAGCCCCGGCCTTGGCTACCGGAAACCCCAACCCCGGGTGAGAATGAGGCTGTGTCGTGTTTTTCTGAGGGGAGCTGTTGTTGGTTTCAAAGGGAAACCTAAGGAAAACCGGAGCCATTTTGGGGACCTTCATGTTTTGGAGGGTACATGTTGTGGGTGTTAAAGGGAAGCCAAGGGAAAACCGAGGTCGGCCCAAAAAAAGAGGACAGACCCATGCGTAATCTGGTGGCCTGACGCCCTGGGAAATAACTCCATAGAGGAAGCCTCTGATCAACGTACCTACCGTGTGTTTGCCAGTCTCTGGTTTTGTTGAGTTTCCATTTATTTTGATGTTTCCTACATCATCAGTCTGGACTCTGGACTCAAGGCGCGCGATTGAAGCGCTGCATGTTTGAAGCGAGGCAGGTGAACATAATTGCGGGTTTGGGGAATCTTGCGGGTGTGTGTGTGTATGTGAGCTTGTAAGCTCTCATTGCCTTGTTTTTGTTTTTTCAGGCATGGCTGGCTGAGGAGCAAAATGTGAGCGACATGTTGCGTGGGTGTCTCCTAACTGGAGCGGGCTCGGAGGTAGCGCCTCGGGCTGCTTTTCTCAGAGAGCTTCAAGGCTTGCTGGGGCATGCTCATCCAAGCAACTCTTGCAGAGGCTATGGAGAAGTTGGATTTGAGTCCTTGTATTGGGGGTTCTTTATTTAGGCTTTAACAAGCGTTCTCAACTATAGGGCTGTTTGTAGCCATCTTTTTTTCCATGAAGGTTGAGCTTGGTTTAAACCAAAGCCCTCCATTGGTGATGTGTGTAGCCGTTTGTACCCAATGTTTCAGACCTTGGGAATACTTGTTTTCTTTGCAGTCTTTTCTTGATCGCTCTTTCTGTGGTGACGCGCCAATGTGTGTTGCGCCAGACCTAGCTTTTGTATGGATCGTGCGTGCGTGTCGGATCGCTCTCGCTGCGATGCTGTGCGAATTAGTCCTGTGCTGGAACAATCCTCTGCGTGGCTATCGCGAGATCCAGTGTGTGTTGCCCCGGATCAAGCCTCTGCGAGGATTTCGGATCGCATGTGTGTTGCCCCAGATCAGCCCTCTGTGTGGATCGCGTGTGTCGGATTGCTTTCGCTGTGGCACCGTGCAAGCTTTTTGCACCGGACCAACCCACGGATTGTGCGTGTCGGATTGCTCTCACTCTGGCGCAATGTCCAATTGCGCAAACCGCCTATTGGCACGCAAAACCCAAAAGGCTAGTTGGTATAATTTGATGTGGCCCCCTTGCATTGTTCCAAACGCACATTCACGGTCGGTTTCTGAAAGATCTATCCTGTCAATGCCTCTCGACTGAATCCTCATTATTTTTTGCATATTTCAGATTCCAAATCAAATTTCAACAAGCCTTAAGCAATGCAAATATCGATTCTATATCAAGGTCAGCCTTCGTAAGCAAATGAAATGGCAGTGAATCTGACGAACTTTAAGTTTCCTGCTCTCTGAGGAACAAGTGGGAGCGACGAGCACCATTGGCGCCACGCCATGTGGAAGAGCTGCAGAAGCAAGGAGCGGGGAGGTTTGGTTTCTGCAACCCAGGCTTCCATTTGCTGAAATGAGTACGATTGTTTATTTTCCGTTGTTGGTTTTAAAGGGAATCTATCACTGCTGGACATATTCGTTCATTCTTTCCAGGGGGGCTTATGCGAATGGAAGCATGCGGAAGCCCTGAGGTGGTTGGGTTTCCCTTCTACTGAAGCTTCCATGTTAACAATTTTCAAGGTAAACTTAAGCCCAGTGGTTGATGTTTAGTCCTACCACAGGGTTTCCCAACCTCCTTGGTAAAAGTTTTCCTTTCTTTCATGC